GCTAATTGGTTGGCTCGCCCAGTGCATTGCACATGGTTGCTGTTTCACGTACACAAACGCTAATTGGTTGGCTCGCCCAGTGCACATGGTTTTCGTTTTTCTCAACAGGCCCAGACAACACCACAGCTCTGTTGTTTAGAATAGGCATGAAGGGGAATTCTTAAGTTATACCTTTGTCGTATAGCTTATCTTACAATATTTTCATGTTCTTTATTTTAGTTAATTAAAAGATATAAAGTGATGAATTAATACACTAGACACATGGTTTTATTTGAACACTTTATTATGACATCGTAAAGTGATGAATAAAAACACTAAACACATATAGTTTTATTTGTAGGCCTAGAGGGTAGGTCTAGCTTAGGTAACATCCTTCGTTCGTACGTTTATTGAGCGTTACGTACGTATTAGGTCAATTGTTACCACAAATTTAACCCAACCTCTATTTTACGAATCCCCTGATTTACGTACGCCCTCCGGTCCCGTACCGTACGTAAAATTGAGGTTCTACTGTATATACTACTATTGACAATACTACTATAAATATACCATCTTGATACATAATTACATATTCTAACTGGATTCTAGACCTAGGCCTATGTATATATTGTGTCCGTATTTAACATATTTCAACCTTTGTCAATCTAAAGTCGAATGTACAGTATGTCCTGGTCCCCGACCCTTTCAGGGTTCAAGTGATTGAAATAATGTAAGAATCTAAAAGACAGGGAGATAGAAATCGATTAAGCAGGAAACCAAGTTGCCTTTATCCAGTACCACTCGTTTATTTTATTTGTGTGGGAAACTTTTAACATAACTTTCACCACTGTATATTTCCATTATAGTCATAAAGAATATCTGCCATAGTTTTTGGGAAGAATTTGCATTTTTCTACAGAGGTCAACCACCTTTTGACCTTTAGATATGTCAATTTCTGCACACGTTTTAAATTTGAATGGTTGGAAAATCTACAGGCTACTTGTTGTTAATACCAACATTATGCAAATCTATCCAATAAATCATGAGTTATGAACCTAAATGTTAACCCCTACCCCAAACATCGCCATTGATTACACAAGTAATCAACAATGACAGTACATTTAATCAATTTATATATTTTTCTTGTTAATATCATTTTTTTATATTCCATATGCTTATATATAATAGAAAATACTAATTGGTATCAAAGCTACTCACAACTGTAATTTGTAAATGTTTGTTTCTGTGAAGGTCAATGACCTTTTGACCTCTAGCTACGTCAATTTCTGCCTGCTTCAAATTTTTTTCAATTTGAATGACTGACCAATCTATAGGCTAAATGTTGATACCAACATCTTACAAATTCATTGACTAAAATCAAGAGATATGAGCATAAATCCCCTACTACATTGACAACATTGACAATAGTACATAATGCATTTTAATTTTTTTCTTGTTAACACCAATTTTTGTATTCCATATGTCAATAGCTACAAGAAAAACACAATTTGTATCAAATACATCCAAAATTAGACATATAACATTGAAGTTTATTGATATTTTATGAAAAAATTTTAGAAAAAGGTTATGACTTTTTACCTCTAGTGATGTTAATAATTGTCGAATTAATTTTATTTAAACAGCATTATGATTAAGATTAAGAAACATGCTACACTGTTGCTACCAAAATAATATTGATGAGATTTTTAAATCACAGGTTATGGGCATAAATGTTACCCCTCCCCACCCCAAAAAAGTATAGACCATAAAACACTAACGACCATTACAAATGACGCGAGTACATACAATGCATCCCTATTATTTTTCTTGTTTTAACATCAATTTTTTTGTTCTCTAGGCCTATGCCCGTAAGAACAAAATGATACCAAGGAAGTTTAACTGTGGGGGTGTGCACGGTGACACCACCCCAAGAGACAGCCTCCAGCCCATGGCCTACTACTACTAGGCCTAGGCTTCCATAGGCCTAGGTCATAAACTCTAGGCTAGGTGGCGCCGGCTAGGTCAGTAGGCCCAGCTTAGAAAGGCCTTAAAATCCAAGCAGATGATGATATTAGCATGTAAACAGCGTATAAAATAAACAGTCAAATAACCCAGATTTGTAAACTTACTCTGTTATTAACCAGCGTGACCACTCACAATAGTATACCCGATGACTGGGTAGATGGTACCCAAGATTCAGCAAAAATTGCCAAAAATTACCCAAGCTTCCTAAAAATGCATTAAATTTGGAAAAAAATACGTGTTTTTCGCATGTATAGTTCCCATTCAGTTCAATTTATAAACCAATTTTTTATTGTAATTGTTTGTGTTAATTATTAAAATTAATATTATGAGGTGATAATACGGATAGAAAAATACGCCCTCAGTCGGCCAGTTTTATCAGTAGATCATCAGTGATCAAGTTTTATTATGTAATGCATTTAATTAGGTAAGATCAATGGCAACGCAAATCACAAATAAACAATTCTGAACCCATGTTTATAGCAATTAACAGTCAATTAACAATGATTGTTATGTGCACTTCGTGAAGTTTTCCTTACTTGAATGGACTTCTTAATTCTTCCTCTATGACAAACATATTTAATTTTCTTAGTAAAAATAAAATACCCAAGGATTTGAACGGAATTCCCAAAAACCCAACCAAGTCAAAATACCCAAGATCTTGGATAAATACCCAAGCAGTGGTCACTCAATCAAGAATTCAAAACTTCAATTTTTGCCGCTTTGATGAGGTTGATTGAGGGCGCCTGATAACAAAACATGAATATTCCCGAACATAAACATCAAGTTGAAGATAAAAAACGAATAAAAACATGTGGAGTTTGAAGATTGTTGTCGCACAGGTTCCTATTTTCGTTTTATCCAGTTAGGTATAGTGTTTGTAATTAAACGATATTGAATCGGCATTTTTTATTATTAACATATATTTTAGAGCCAACAATTTAGGCCTGGCTAGCTTGTATAGACTAACTAGGCCTAGACCTGCCTAGCGCTACATCACCTTGGCCCTAGGCTAGCTACTGTGGAGTATGGTCGGAGCGGCCGCGAGCCGATTCGCAACAATTTGTATGGAGCGCCAAGCGTGCAGTATGCAAAATGTATGTTGGACAATATTATGGGCATCAGAGTTCGATATTAATACTGTTTTAATAATTATCAAATTACTGTAATGTATATTTTCTTTCATAATTTATATATAGCCTATATAAATCGAGACTTTAGGCCATGTAAAATAAAACAATTGGTTAGCATCCTTATGTTATCAATTTTCATGGTAGGGAGGGAGGTTTTTTTTTGTTTTTTTTTCGCAACATGAAAAAAAAGAAGAAGACCAAAATTACATACAAGCATCTACAGCAAGCAGAAACTTTACCTATGAATAACAGCGTCATAATGCAATTATCTCTGTATTATCATGCACAATTCACTCCTCAACACAACAGGCATCACAACAACAGTGTAGAGCGTAGAACTGCAAGTGGACTGGCTAGTGTGCGGACGGGTGGTAAACAAACCTATATTAAATTGAGTTTGTGAGTGTATTGTAAAAAAAAAATTCAAAAAAATCGGATCGATGGCCTTTTTGATGGTAGGGAGGGGATGCTAACCAATTATTTTATTTTACATGGCCTAATATTTAGTTAGTTTATTATATCAAATATTATGATTTATAGTATGCCTATTTTCTTACAGAAATGGATGGTACTTTTTAAATCGCTTCTTTAGTTTATTTCTTTGAATTGCACGAACTTGTGTTCAATTTGTTCTTTAGTGAATGAACATCTGTTTGTCATTGCATTTGAAGATGATTCATAATTGTTATTAATAATAGTAATAATAATAATAATAATAATAGTAATAATAATAATAATAATAATAAATTAATAATAATGTACAGTATCAAATTTGATTACATTGTAAATTTAGTATTGAGAGATCCCATGTTTGAATCCGTTTGTGTCCTGAAAGAAATATAAAATAAAAGTTCATTGTACATAAAAATCCGAACTGATAACATATAATAAATATCAATTTAATCATATCATAATTCAATTATGTCATGTACGTACAAAAATGCTTCGATCTGTAATTAATCTGTAAACAAATTAATCTTTAATTAACCAGAGCCAAGAAGACTACAAGAAATAAAAAATATTCAATTATGAAAATTATACATTGATTTCTCTTTATTTCGAAACACTTGCCTGATCTACTGGCGTTCCATACATTTTGAGTGCGGCCGCTTTCCCTCGCGGCCGCTACGACCCTAATCCGCTACTGTTAGTACCTACCTCAGACCTGGGCCTTTTTCACGAATCGGTAGACATCTTGAAGTGATGACAAACATTGCGAATCAGCGGTGTGTAACCAACATGAAAATAAGATAAGCTTTTGGGCTGATTTTCTGACATCATGTTATTTAAAAAATCATAATTTCATAACGGGTCGTCGTATCAAAACAATTTTTATAGAAAAATGTTCTTTAAAAGACTAGTCTACACCACTATATGATTGAAAAAAAAATTTAAAATGTTTTTGACCTCTGAAATCAAGATGGAAAAAGAAAAGCCTATCTAAGTAGTTTATTAAAATAGGCCTATGCATTTACAGTGCCAGTAGCATAGCACTTTCGTATTGTTACTGTTCCAGGTACCGATAGATTTATTATTATTATTATTATTCTCTTATTATAAAGTACAAATTATGTTTTATAAAGAAGTATAGTATAGTAAATCATGTTTTTAACACAGGAAACTCTCATATGGTAACTAAAACAATGCTAGTCCAGAGTATTACTAGTACTACTGCATACAGTATGTACATATATACATACATATATGCATATCGTATCACATATGTATATATATATATATTTATTGCCGACTGTTTATTGTTTTACATTGGATCTGGTATTTGCCAACTTTTGTAATCAGTTATGCTGATGAAGTCTTGAGGACAAGACGAAATATTCGTTTCCTGAATAAATTATATTGTGTTCTACTGTCTAACTCAACGTTTCCGCATCATTATTTTCTGGTTTGCTAGAAACCTGACCAGTCCAAGTATTGCATTGCTTATTGTATCCTTATCTGAGAAATCAATCTCAAGCGAGAGCAATTTTGTGATAAATTTTTATGATTCCAAGTTTTTAATGAAGAATATTGTTATTATTATTAAAATCTTTTGTATTTTTTCTGTGTTTTGTTACATCTAAATATTTTTGTATAATTCGTGTCAATTTTACAATAGCATGATGATTGTTTTCAAGAATGTTATTTTATAAAATGTGAATATAGTTCTTACTTTCCTTAACTTGCTGATGTATAGCTGATTAGTCATCTATCGAACTGGTTTGTGTCTGTCTCTTATACACATCTAGATGTGTATAAGAGACAGTATGTATATGTATATATACACACATAAATCAAACTACCAAAAAATGCTTGGCTTATATTTATTAAGCTCTACCCCTGGTAATGGTATTGAGCACTCTGCCCAGATGATCTGGTACCTGGATGAATTCTGGATGAAGAAGCATCGTAAGATATTGTTAGGAGCACACAATAGCTGAAAATACGATTTACGATGAAGTGCATTTAGCGCCCGGCACAGCCTGCAGTATACTGGTGAAATGTGTGTCGTCCAACAACATAGTACTACTGTAGGCCTAGTATGTTTTGCAAAGCTGCTAAATTGGTGAAGCTGGCTTAACTTTTTAAACTTCTTTAAATATCTTTTCTACCTACCTTTCATCAAGTATACCTTTAATAGCAGGTTCTCCCTTACGCAATTATTGTGCATAATTTTATCTGAATGGACCAGCACATTCACTTCTGAATTTCAATATGTTTCTTTTTGTTCTTTCTTAGGAGCAGCCATGTGTTTGTTCTGCTCTACGATGAAGTGGGAATGGCCTATTAGACTTTGAATAAAATTACAATGAATAATTAAATGCTCAGAATGTCAAAAAGAACTTCAATCCATGCAAAGAATGATGGAATGCAGATCAAGAGTGAAGGATTGCTTCATAGAGATGATTCATTGGAAGACCAATCAGAGATGCCGGCCAACGCGACTTTATTATGGGATGTCTCCAACAGACTGCAGAGACTTGGATGGAAACGTATTCTCCTGATGTTGGTTGTGTTTCGATGTATCAATGCATTGCTTGTTCAGACGTGGTTCGTCCCTGACGAATATTGGCAGGCGGTAGAGGTTGCTCACAAAATGGTTTTCAAATATCCTTTTATGTATAGTCAATTTAATTGGCCTATTGGAGAGGTCTGCTTACTATGCGGATGATTGTTTATGGTTTCCATAGTATTGTAAAAATAATTTACCCGTGAATAGAAATCTACATAGTGGCCAATTATAAGTCATACACACAACCCTGCAACATGCAACAACAGACTAACCTCAAAATGAACTTGCATCCAAACTTTCACTTCAAAAGACAGATTCTCCTACCCATTAGTAAGCATGGGAACTATCCTAAAGTAAAATCTTTAACCTGAAACTGTGAAACTGCATGGGTTAGTTTAGCTATCTATTTTATGTTTGAATTTAATTTTTTATTGGTTTGTTTTTTTTTTGTTGTTTTTTTTTTGTATCTTGTAGCCACTTACAGTATTCACATTTCCTTAACATGCTGCCCTCACATATGGTTACCTGACGTGGGAGTGGGATGCTGGTATCAGGGGATATCTTCATCCCCTTCTCTTTGCCATTCTATTCAAGATCTTGCAGTTATTACATCTGGACTTTCCTTTGCTTCTGGTACATTGTAATTATGTTCATCCAATTTTGCAAATAGTGTTTAGATTAGTAAAATTTAGAAGACGCCAAAGTTAATTAATAACATTGACTTGCTCATTTAATTTTTACTCCAAAAAGTTCTTCAACTGATTACCAGCCAATATAAAGGTTTGCAAAGAATATAATAACAGTATTATTATGCATCTGTTAATTTTCAAGGGAATTATTTTCTTGTTTTATATTTTGCTAAAATATGCTACTGTACAACATGTAAGCAATTCAAATATTTTTAAATTTTAGCATAACACATAGTATATAACCTTTACACATTGCTCTATGTTAAATGGATATTGTTTGCGCTTTATTAAATAAAGTTCTTATTATTATTATTATTATTAAATTCTTTTTCGATGATCCAAATATCAAGTAAACTTATTTATTTTATTTTTATTTATTCTTTCTTTATACTGAATATACACTTTCAATGCATAGTACTGGTTTCCAAAGTGGTTCAGTACTTAACTACAAAATTTTAAAAGCAGATATATACTCATGGTAACCAAAAAATGGAACTTAACTACAAATTAAAATAGATTTAAAAGGAACATTGAAAGAAATTTAAAAAAAAACTTATGAATGCTGTTAACTTATGGAAGTTTTGCCTGCTTTCAGCAAGGCTTAGTCTTAAGTGGGCTATCTGATATTTTTTCTGAAGAGCAATTGCTCCATGTTGTTAGAGGTTCTGTTCTATTAGTCCATAAGTTTATATCACATGTTTTAATATCTGTTGTGTATACTGTATAATGGTAAATAAGATGATAATTGTGTTTCTTCACTATCTTCACCATAGATTCACAGTCCACATATTCTTCAAGGTGTGTTTAGTGCTGTGGGTGATCTTCATATTTACTTGTTTGCTAGAAACCTGACCAGTCCAAGTATTGCATTGCTTATTGTATCCTTATCTGAGAAATCAATCTCAAGCGAGAGCAATTTTGTGATAAATTTTTATGATTCCAAGTTTTTAATGAAGAATATTGTTATTATTATTAAAATCTTTTGTATTTTTTCTGTGTTTTGTTACATCTAAATATTTTTGTATAATTCGTGTCAATTTTACAATAGCATGATGATTGTTTTCAAGAATGTTATTTTATAAAATGTGAATATAGTTCTTACTTTCCTTAACTTGCTGATGTATAGCTGATTAGTCATCTATCGAACTGGTTTGTGTTGTTTACAGCAACTCGTACGTTAGCCAATACCATGGAGATGATTTTAACGTCTGTCGCACTCTCATGCTATCCTACTACATCAGCATGTCAACAACAACACAGGTAGATTGGTCCAAACACTGTGAAAAAATGTAGAAATTGTCAGGTTGTGATAATTTAAATGAAAATGTGAAAGTACATATATGGTCCCAGTTGAAATCTACAAAGGCCACCCACCGTAAAGAGGCTCATATAGTAGCTTCATATTTACATCATTCCACAAAACAGGGGCTGAAGTGAACCATAGCATTGGGGTAACCCCTTACTCTTCCAAAAATGCAGTGGTTTCATTAACTTGCACATGTGCCAGATGTGTACGCTGGACCTCCATTATACATCTTTATCCAAGAAGACTTGCCAACCAACCCTGGGCAAGGATCTTTTTGAATAGTATTCCGAGTTAGTTACACTATAACAACTCCCTGGTTATGCACACAGGACCAATAGCTCAACGTCCCATTTGAAGGAAGAAAGCAATTAGAGTAAAGTGCCGTACCCAAGTATGAACAAAAGCAATATTAGCATGTTTTTTGAGTTAAGTACTGCTAAACTTTGCCTCACTAAGCTGTTAGTAATATCTTGTTTGTAGGGCAGTATATCTTGTCATTGTTGGCTTGGCTTGTATCATCAGACCAACTGCAGGCATTGTTTGGCTGCCACTTGTGTTATGGCATCTTGCGGTTGAATCACACAAACTGAAATTCATCTTTACTTATCTTGCTCCTATTTGGTAAGTGTTTATCTCTACATGAGGACTATTATAAATGAGTGTAGCCTGCAGCATTTACCCATTTGTTGTTTTTGAACTGTCTTTTGCTTTCCTTTGTTTATATTTTTCTTGGGTGCACCATCAAAGTGATGGGTGCCACTGATCTGAAAGTGAACCCAGTAAATCGTGTTGTATCGTATAGTATAGCGTCCAGACATGATCAGTGAGGGCAGCATAACTTTATTTAATTAGTTTGATTACTTTATATTTGCAGGTTATAATCTCTGTTGTTCCCTCAACCAAGAAGGCTCTCATTCTTGGTTATTTAAATTCAACATAGAAAGTACAGTTCATATAAAGCAAAGGGGATTTGAGACAAAGGGGGAGAAGTGGGGGTGTTTCTGTATAAGTGAAAACAATTATTAATTATTTAATGATGTTGTTATTATTAGTTTTTATCATTTTTCTTATTTCTAATTTTATTTTCAACAGTTTCTGCTCACTATTATTGTCCCTTGCAGTAGACCGATTATTTTATGGAAAAGTAAGCAAAACAATCATAATAATTATTAATATTAATATTATTGTTATTCTTGTTCTTGCAATTATTATTACACTAAAAAACTTCATAATACTATTGTTGCAACAAGTTAGGCAGGTCTATGTACAACATATACAGGTAGTACCATATTAACACTATAGCAATTTGTAATCAGCATATTTGAGTATAAAGTGCCTCTGTCTTACATACTGTATGCACCATAAGTATTCAATATTTAAGCCCAACATTAAATGACAAAATATATGTTGCTTCATGAGCAAGACACACACCCTGCCACTAACCATGTACCTCTACTTTAAAAAGGTAGTCACATAAAAATACAATTATTGAAGAATTGCTAAAAATATCTGTACAGTACATTTTTACATGAATTATCCTCTAGTGGATCATCGTTCAACTGAATTTCCTCAAGTTTAATCTGCTGCATGACATGGCTGATTTCTATGGCGCTCACCCTTGGCATTGGTATATAACACAAGGATTTCCAGTTCTGCTTGGACCTCAGCTTGTCCTATTTGTCATTAGTGTCGTGTACCACGGTAAACAATTGAAGCATTGGCTGTGTCTCATTTTCTGGACTATAACTGTATACAGGTACAGTGATTATTATTTAATATAATTATATAGTATCACATATATAAATATCAACTTGTTTAATAATGAGCGGATTCATCATCGTTTTCATTATCATCATCAGGGTTGTCATTTATATACATTAAGATCATTTTTATCATTTATTATTATTTCAAGTATCTTGGGTCACAAGGAGTTTCGTTTCTTGATGTCGTTGCTTCCTATTGCTGCATTGTTTAATGGTAAGAAACTTTTATGTTTATCAGAAGCTGATTAATTTAAATATTGAACATATAAATATTTTGACGTAACAAAATGTTCATGTATATAGAAACAGGGATTAAAGTTAATAGGATTAAGATGTTGGCAATAGGAGCTATGATGATGAGTGATGTCAGTAACAAAATAATAACAATGGCAATAGTGACAACAACATTGACTTTACATGATGACATTAATGGGTTACTCTCCTAACTTTACTTTTAATTGATCAGAAAATAATATATTAACTATAAGACAATCGTGAAACCCAAACATAAATAATTATTGTTGTGCAGGTTTAGCAATGCTAAAGATGTTGAGAACAAAGCTGTCTACAGCCCTGCTGTCATTACTCCTCACAACTAGCATCATTATGGCTTTATACACAGGCCTAGTTCATCAAAGGGGTGCTATACATGTCATGGAATACCTAAGATGGGTAGCAGCATCTGGTGGAACAGCATCAGTCATGTTTCTTATGCCCTGTCACTCAACACCTTACTATAGGTGGGTTCAGCTGACTGGTTACTGTCCAGAAGCTTTTTTTATATTGTATAAACATTAACAGTTACATCAAAGTTGACATAATCTGACCATGAAGGTATCTCCACAGTCTGGCAATATATTGCATAGAGTTATTATAGTGCTCTGTCTAAATTTAAATATTTTGTGTGATATGCCCATATATGGGTGTGATTTGACATCAACATGCCCATATATGGGTAAATCACAGACAATTGTCATCGTATTTGTCACATAAAAATTGATATTATGGATAGAGCCTTATTATTACCTGGAATGATTACTATTGTTTTACCCCAATGCATCGATCCTCAAAACAAAGCTGTAACCTATTTTTTGGCTGAAAAATGACAATTTCATATGCGGGACCATTAGGTTTCTAATTTAACTGAAGCGTGCATTCTTTTTTTTTCATTTGAATTAAAATGTGCAAGTGTTGGCCACACAAATTCTAATTTTCTTGTCTATTTTTCTTATATCTACAGTGTGACTAATTTTTGAAAAATCAGTTACTAAGTCTTCAACGATTTTTCCTTTCTTTAGTTACATTCACACAAACATCACGATGCGATTCCTAGAGTGCCCTCCAGACCTTCACAGAAAAGCAGAATATGTTGATGTAGCAGATGTATTTTATAGGAACCCTAAAGAGTGGCTGGACAAAGAGTTTAACTTAACAAACAAACCACCAACCCACTTGGTTATGTATGACAGGCTGGCAAATGTAAGTATTGTAAATGCAGTAGCCAGCTGGATAATTAATCCAGCTCCCTCTCAGTTATTGTTTACTCTGTCAAGTTAATTTGCTGTTAGTCATAGAGGCTGTTTCTAAAAACAACCATTCTTTCTGGCATCCCAGAAAGGTTCTTTTGCATGGAATAAATACCGTACAAATACTGTACAAAAGAACTGTTCTTTGTGGGGTAGTTTCTAGCTGTAATTTGTCCTAAGGTCAACTCAGCCTCAGCATCTCAATAATTTAGGCTTTTACATGATTTTACTTTTGGACATATTTTATTTAAGTTCTTCAATAATGATCAGAAATTAGATGTAGTCCAATAGACCTATGATATTATAATTTATTATAAGGGGGAATCAGTAAGGCAAATGAAAATCCGATAGAAAACACACCCATAGTTCAAATAGTAATATTTAGACTTTTGTTTTTGGTCACAATATAGGTTTTTATCATAAAATATTTTAATATTATTTTCTAGCAGAGTATTGAAGAATTTTTACAATTTTGGGAGTTTAAAAAGGTAAGAACAAATGAAATTGATGATAAAAGTGTGCTGTGTCTTAGTGGTTAAGTCATCAATTTAACTAATTCATTTTGTTTTATAAGTTTAGGGACATAGCACCAATACTGTATTAACACACATTTGAACATTGTAATGTATGCAAAAATTAAGTATATTTTAATGAATTTATTGTTGCAGTGCCATGATGTCTTCCACTCACATTTCCCAGATGGTAGGGTTGGAACTCATGTTCTGGTTTTCTGTCGAAACGAAGTTGTTAGCTGACCTTTGTGTGACTAGTATGTTACAGTTAGGTGCAATTTACAGCCTCTTTAAATGTCTTCGCAAAGTTAATCAAAATTTAGCTCAACACAGTCAATATAATATATCTTTAAATTAATCATATAAATAAATACAGTACTGGTAAATAAAATAATAGATCAAAAATATTTAGCAGTCCCAAGAAAAACTTTATTTGGCAGGTTTTCCAGAAAGAAAACTAAGTGCTAAAATTTTATCAGATGGTAAATTGTATAAACTGAAATTGCAATGTAACAAAATGACCATTATTTTACTAAGTAACAGTATACTGTGCTAGTATTTCTACTTGTTAAGCAATTAAAATAATTATAAAGTTTCACCAGTGTGAGTATCCTTTTTTTGAGAGTCTACAACCCGAGGAATAGTTCAATATACCATTCTGTTACATTATTATCACCAGCATTTAATACATAATATATACACTTTATTTTGCAATTTAAATGTTGATATTTACCTAGAATTGAGTTGAGATGGTCTGTACAAAAAAGCAAGTGTGGAAAATGGTATTTTGAGCATGTTAACAACATTGGGGTGTATTATTTAAACACTTAAAAATAATGCTTTGACTTGACCAAAAAATGTATATAGCTTTAACGAAATGTAACATGTATTTTTGAAAAACAACCAAACTGAGTTTCTAGTAAACATACAGTAATTGATATGAATTAATAAATTCAATGAAAGTAAAAACTAAAATATTGTTTCAATAAATCATTTGTTAATATATTCTTTTCGCTTATTACGTTAATGCACTAGTTGTTTACTGTACAGTTCTACTGTAATAAAAATTCCTTTTCTATTTACACTACACATTGTTCATTCATTCTTTTGTATTTTTCCTTTCTAAAAATAATGACTTTCTTTTTAAATTTTTCACTAAGTAATTCTAACAATGAAGCTATACTCTACATCTTTTTTTTTAACCATGTTAAAATTTGGAACTTGCATATCATAAGTCACAGTTTAATGCAAATTTCCAACAAATGCCAGTAAATGTCTTGCCAGTAAATGTCTTATTTCTAAATACATTCCTTAGTACAAATTAAAGATTTATGTTTTATCTTCCTTTACAGTTTGGGAGCTAGTGTTATGTCCTTAAACTATACTACATCACAATTTTACTTTTTGTACCAATTAATTTAATCATGTCATGTGTACATTCACACCAGCTTTAGAAAATTCTCTCCTATTTTACTACATCAATGCATCAGGCAATTAAATAATATGTTATATCATTATCTACTATGTGTTAACAATATACATGCCAAGGCACATACTACTGTGGCAATATTAATCTATATCATTACCATTTATCCGTAACTCAATTCACATAACATGCCTTCACGCAGTACTTAGACTGCAACTAATTATCTAATCATTATGTGGTCCCTCAAAGTTAAATGCATTCAACATAAACATAACAGGGATACATTTCACTATTTAAAAACATCCAATACATAATTTAAAATATATTAATACTTTACAATGATTAGACCTCAAATAATTAAATGGGTAAAATACTCTTCCCATTATGTATTGCAACATGAAAATCAATATAAATACAGGTCTCTTGATCATTGTAAAATAAGTCTCATAATTTACTGAAAAAGTGCATATCCCATAATGCTTTCTAACACATAGGCTGGTAAATTAAAATAAGTTTGTCATATCTTGCAATACTTGGAGACACAAAAGCTGGTGATAATACATTACCTCCTTAAACCATAAGTATTTCATAATTGGAAAAGGATAAACAAAACTGTATATTAACAGTACGACAACAATCTATATACAATTACTGAGCACATTTGTAAGCTTCCATGCAAGCAATTCTTACTAATATATTGCTACAACTGTTTCAAAATTAAAAACGAGAAGAGAAAATCCCAATGCTTGTATTTTTAAAGTATTTTTTTTTTTGGTTTTTATTCAAATGCTCTTTAAAATATGAAATAGGAACAAATGAAAATGAACTGATCAAACCACAAAAGACATATTTGGGATAACCCTAAAACTGTGACAGAGACGATTATTCCCATAGGGGTGATATTTAATTTTTAAAATATGATCGTATTTGGTAAATGTGTGAAATTGATGTTTACAAGATGCATTTTAGTTTCTCGCAAAATACCAATGATAATGCCAATCATGGAACCAGTTATAAAGATCCCACATGGATATACCAGTCCTCATGTCACTTCTACATTGGGTCCACTTAAAGTACCAGTTAGGATAAGCAGGTTCATCTTCTGAATCCCACTTCCTTCTGGAGTCTTCTCGGTCCTTCCCTCTACGCAGAAACCAGTCTTCTTTTTTTGGTGTGTCATCATTTCTTTCCTTGTCACGATGTATGCCTCTTAGAGTAAACCAATCATAGTTGTTTTCTTCATCTTCACCTCTTTTGTTTGACATTTCAGACAAATCATCTTTTTCTCTTCTTTTTGCCCTTTTAAAATACCAATCATCATCGCTGTGGAATGCCATTCCAGCAAACCTTCGACCATCATCCCTTGCATTCCCAAATGAGCTTACAGTTTCATATTGCTCCCTGTGCCTCTGGGCTCGTTGGTGCATACTTTTCAGTACAATACCTAAACTTCTTTTCAAATTCGCAAGCATGGCATCATGAACTTCCTTACCATTTACCAATGGCCAGAGTTCATTAATGAATTCGTTAATTTCCAAAGCATCATTCTTGTAGTTGTTCATCTGCAACCATTCGTTGTATTTTAGCAATTCTTCTATTAGAATTTCTGCATCGTCTCTCTGTTCCTCTATACATACTGGGTCATTTCTGCATTTCATAGTAAAATACTTTTTATACAACTTTCTCCAGTTGCCTGTTAGTAGTTGTTCTATGTTTTCCACATCTAATGGTGGAGATTTCTTGTTTTTCTTTTCCCTTACTTTTCTACACTTTTTGTTTGTTTTATCCATACTTTTCTTTTTCACATGCTCACCTTTATTTTTTATATTTTTAGTATCCATCTGATCTCCACTGCCAACAGGTTGAGATTTTTGTTTTTTCTTTTTTTTATTCTTTTCCATTCTAGAATTCTTACTCTTCATTTTCCCCCAACCTGTTTTCTCTTTCACAGACTCTTTCACAGCATCCCACTTTTCAGTTGCTGTGAAACTGATGTCTTTCATGCTTGTTTTAACAGTTGACCAGGTATCCCCCAGCGAGTTTCCCAATTCGCTGACAGATTCTTTGGTATTTTGAACTGCTTCATCTAGAGACTCTAGGATTGTGTCCTTGGTCTTCACCATGGACGATTTGAATTCATCAGATTGAGAGTAATTTTTCATCTGGACAACTTTCTTTGACAAATCACTCAAAGTGGACTTGGTTTTGTTCACAATGTTTGTAGATGCTGTGAAGTTCTTCAGATCCTGCCATTTCCCACCAAGATCCATTGCAGATATTGTCTCTCTAACCTGTTTAGACTTTTCTGCTAAGGTTATCTTTGCGTTTTCACCTGTCTCTCTGACATAAGCTGAGATATCTTCAGAAGATTTCTTCACTACTTTCCACTGACTGTCTAATGCCTCTTGAAGTCGCTGTTGGGTGTTAGCAACGTCTGATGCAAATTCTTCAGATTTGGAATAGTCATAAACTCTGCCAATAGCTTCTAAGGTAGCCTTATTGGCAGCACCTACAGCTTCTTTTGTTTTATCATAGTATGACCAAAGCACACTTGAGTCTGCTTTTCCCACACTATCACCAAGTTTCTTTTTCAAACTGTCAAAAGAGAGGACAGTCATCCAACTTGAGTCATCAGAAGGGCCAGTAGGGTCATCTCCAGAAGTCTCCGCATAGTCATTTAATTCAACATTTGCCTTTGCTTTTAAGGCTTCATTTTCCTTTGCTTTTAAGGCTTCAGTAGTAAGTCTAAGCTGAGATTCTAATGCAATCATCTTTTCATAGAGTTCTTGAACCAATTCCTGTGGTTCGAGTGTCTTTTGTTTGTACAACTCATGCATTTCTTTGTATTGAGCTTCTAACTCTCCAAGCCTCATTTCATACTCCTTAATTTTATCTGAATCATCGCTTTCCTTAGAATTATGCTTAACTGGTTCGTTTTCAATGTTTTGATCTTCAGATTCCACATCTTTGACAGGATCATGAAAGAAAATAGCATCTTTCAAGTCCCTCCAATCCTCTTCTCTATTCTGTGGAATTTTCTCTCTTCCAAATTCAATACTATGGTCAATGCCTTCTTCAACATCCATCGTATCTTCTCCACTAACAGATTGCTTTCCATTGCCTTTATTCTGGATATCTTCAATATCTATAAGATCTTTACTTTCAACAGACATTTTTTCATTGCTTATTTCATACACTTTCAAGTCCATCCAATCCTCTTCTCTATTAGGAGAAATTTTCTCTTTTCCAAATTCAACACTATGGTCAATGGCATCTTCAACATCCATCATATCTCCTTCACTAACAGATTGCCTTTCATTGCCTTTATTCTGGATATCTTCAATATCTATCCAATCTTCACTGTCCACAGATTTTTTTTCACTACCTCTACTCAGAGGAATTGCCTCTGTTTCAAGTTCAGTATCTTGGATATTGGCCTCATCGATATCCATCCAATCACCACCTCCAAGTGAGTTTATTTCATTCTCTCTGCTCCGAAGATTATTCTCTTGCTCAAATTCAACATTTGTTTCTAAAGCAGCATTGTGGCTAATAGCATCTTCAACATCCATCCAATGGCTATAGCTATCCTTATCCTCACAAAAGGTTGGTTTAACTGTTACACCATCAGAACCTTGCATGTTCTCAATATCTGACTGTTGATCTTTTTGGATTTCCTCTGAGCTGAGGCAAGAAAGTAACTCATCTTGCAGTGCATGTAGTCGTTGGGTTTGTCCCACCTCAATATGTTGTTTGTAGCTATTTGTCTGAGAAGATCCTGCAGATGAAGAAAGACAATTATAAATATTTGGCCACACTATAAAAAAAATTAAGACACCTTTTGATATTTAAATAACTAATAACATAAAATCAGCCACTTACAGAATTGACAATGAGGAAACTGGGACTTCAAAGCCATTAAACATCAAGCTAAAATTCATTACATTCATCAAAATCAACTTACCTAAATAATAACCACTGCTCAATGCAAATATCAACAACAAGATATAGGTGATTTTTGCCGCAGCAAACTCCTTGTATTTTTCAATACCAACAGTTTTTTTTTTGGTTGATTCCTCTGCCACTACTGCATTTGACATTGAGCTGTTTCTGGATCGGCGAGCTGTAAATCTTTTCCGTATATTCCCTAGCGTTGTGAAAGTAAACAAATGCAATAAATCAATCCCTGATTACAATACTATTTAAGATGGAAAAGAGCATAAATTTTTATTCTAATGATTTGTTATACATTGTAACTATCTTCTTGTGGTCCTATTGGAAAAAATAATGCATGTTCTTATAGTAAGAAATTGGGTAATTCTACAGGTTGATGGACTAGTGTTCTTTCTAAGCTGTTTTAGCCATCAATTTTACCAGTTAAAATAACCGGCAACCAGTAACAATTTTGAGTTTGAAGAAAAAAAACTACTGGTTAGGCCTTGGTTTTCTAGGCTGGCCCTCTTTCAATAAATTAACATCATTCAAGTCCATTTCTAGGCTATGAATGTGTTGTTGTTTCTTCAAGTCATTAAACCCCACTTAAAAGGGGTACCACCTGGCACTGTGCGTATTGCTGAATTTTTATGGACAAATTTACCATTAAAATTTTTTCAATTGGTAGATCACTGTGGACGCAAGGGGAAAATTGAAAAATTTGATTATTTTAATACAGTTAAATTTGCCTTAGTCGACTTTGCCTACCTCGAATAATTTCTAAGTTGATCTAATTTTACATGCCAAATTGTTGCGTTTTCCATTAATTATTACGATCTGTAAGTCCAACAATTTTTCAATGCCATTTTGGATTCAAGATCAACTGTACAAACACACTATTGTTTTCATAATTATCCTGGTGTGGAGCTGAATGGCTTGCTGGTTAAGATTTTAGTGACACAGCAGATTTTTTTCTACCCACGACTAAAACAGCTACACACTCAATTTGTGCTATCTGTATATTTACACAAGTATTAACATTAAATGTTCATTATATTTTAATGATTCATGGCTGAATTAGTGAAAGTTAAATGGTGACAATAACCTCTATGTCCTCGTCCAGGATGAAATAACTTTGATGAGTCTGAATCGTCAGATGTAGTTTGCAATAAAGAAGGAAGCCACTTTGTATTTGATGACAATGGTGGTCTTGCATCCAGTTCTTCTCTCTTTGATGTTTGTGCAATTGGAGTATCAACTGTGTTAGGTTTTCTAGCAAGTTTTACTTCCTCGGCTCTTGGGATGTCATCTTGGCTGAGATGTTCAAAATCTGAGTCAGAGTCACACACTGTCTGTTCTCCAGCTATATGATACAAAAAGAATTTGTAATGCATTTTATTTTTATTTCACTGCAAAGGAAACTCGTACAATGCCCTGCCTAACCTGGATAAAGCTGTGGATACTCACAAACAAAAATCAAAAAGCCATTTCATATTGCTTGTGGGCATATACAAAATATTTCTCAAGATGCTACTTAATAGCAGATTCTGATCAATATTTTGGCTTGATGAGCAAGTTTACAATGTGTTCATTTGGTAGTTAAGCAAGTCATTACATTCTGTTAGTAGCAACCTACATCACAGTCAATCATAGGATGGAATGCTCAGGATGTTTATATTGTTAACAGGAAAGATGATGAATTCTGGGTCATGCTAAATGCTCATGAGGGTCTGCAAATTAACCCCTTCTCTTGGAAGCTTTGAGACAGAAAACAGTGCTGTTACCTTTTTCAATGATTTGTAAAGAATCCTCCACATCCAATTGTGCCTGGATACCTTGCACTCCACCATCAATGACATTACATTCTGTATCAACACTACTGGCAACTTCTCCACTTGTATCCGAGTATTCATCACTTAGGTCTTGATTAGTCCTGGATGTGTTTATTACTTCATCCAACAGAAAGTCAGTTGCTGATGAGGTTGAAGCAGATAAACGGGAGCGACTAATATTTAAGCGTGCTCTCACATTGTCTTCTATGACATCGCCAATTGACATTCCTCTTTCAAGTTTGGGAACCAAAAGTGAGTCATTAGCTACTGGAATTGATTCCCCTACATGGTCAGAAGAACTAGTAACATCCACTTCTATATTCACTGGCAATTCTTCACAGCCAGGTGGTGGTATTTGAGAAGGTTCTGCTTCTCCCAAAGGAATATGTATTTTGGAAGTCTCTGCATCTATACCTGTAAGTTCTATAGGCCCAGTCACTAGATCATTTCTTACATCCTTCATTTCCTCATCCTTACTAGTACTATTGCTACTGTTGTGATGGTAGCGTACAACATCATTCTCTAAGGCAACATAGTCTGATTGTTCACCACTTTCATTATCACTCTCTGATCCCTGAAATAAGATTTGATAACACCTTATCTAGTAGTACTTTAAATAACAAAAGCAGTACTGTATACATATTTATATTTTGTGATAAACAATAAATATACACATGGTACACATCATACCTCGCAGTAGTGGAGATGGTTGCACATTGGTGTATAATTGCCTCTGAATACAATGCACCAAAATGGTAAAAAACATGTAACAAGTTCATTTATTTAAAAATTACTAACTACTGTAAATTAAAAATGTATAATATTGCACACATATGATTTGCACACAGTTTAAAACTGTGCAAATCCTTCAACACATAACAAAATGACTGAATCTGATTGTAACTGACTTACAAAGACTCTGCCTTTGTCATTGACAACAGCCCAACCAGATGTTGATAGTTCCCCATAGTTTTCTGCCATGACCAATGGTCACAGAGAAGCACAAATGTCACATCCAGGTATTATCAGTAAACAACCATGTGGGCTTACCACAGGAGTATATTCCTGCTACCTGCAAAAGAATTTCTTCAAACATTATGAATGAGTCATACAATAACCTTAAGCCAAATCATCTGCACTGATAAAATGTAGAAGCGGTTGGCGCACCGGTTGTAGCTTGGACTTCAAACCTTGAGGTCAGGGGTTCAAAACTCCCGCTGTGCAATTTGCTTGTGTCCTTGGGCAAGGCACTATACCTACAGTTGTCCCTCTCCACCCAGGAGCACAAGTGGGTACCTGGTAGGTTCAAACACAACCATGCGCTGATTAGAGCTCCAACATTATAGAATTCTCCCAAGGGGCCTGAGTATGTGTTCCATATGTGCTTGATCCAGAGACTGGGGGTAATAATGCTAAGTGCATAGAGGTCTGTAGAATATGTGTTATAAGTGGCCAATTTGAATTATTATTATTATTATTAATATTATTATTATTTTAAAATGGTGTAGAGCTGAATAACTTGGTGGTTGTGATGTTTGCCTTAATCCCAGGGTCTGGGTTCTCCAGTGACAGCAGGAATTTTTTTCCCACAAATAAAATAAAGCATAACTGGCACTGAAAATATAAGATATCTACTGAACAGGTTACTCAGTACAAAGAAAAACAATTGAATGGTATTTATTTACTGAATATCTCACTAAATTTATAAAACACATAATAAATATTTAAAACATTTTTCTTGCACAAGATCATGGGTACAGACAATTCAGTCGTTTACATACTGTAAATGTAAACTCAACTGACTTATATTATTTTCCTTTCTGTCATCTTATTTACTAGCAGTATATTAATATAATAATAATAATAATAATAACAATAATAATAATAATAATAATAATAATATATTATTATTATTATTATTATTATATATAGCTAGAGTAGGCCTAAATAAAAAGTGCAAATGTGTACTTTAAATAAACTTACAAACATTATTGTATATAGGCCTAGCCTAGGCTATAAATATAGGTCTAAGAATAAGATATTCGCTGATCAAGGACAGCTGTACTTCATAGATTGGTGCCACACCAATCAAGGCCTTTCTGACTGTTCACTCTCTTCTTCTATAGCCTAGCATAGGCCTCCCTACCTAGGGCCTAATCCCTAGCTAGGTCTTCTCTAGTCTCAGGCCTAGGCTAGGGTGAGCCTAGCTAGGCCCTGGCCTAGGTAGCCCTAGGTAGGCCAGGTCCATTTATTATTTATAGCAATAGCTAAGCCTAGTTTGGAAACATCTGCTACTTTATTCTACTGTAAATACCAAACCACTCTGTTCCTACAGAATTAACAATACCTTTGCTTGGTCTCCGCACTACAAAATAGCTTTATGTATGAGTTTCTCCCCTACAGTACTAGCCTAGGATCGGAGGAGGCCTAACCCAAGCGATCAGCAGCGAAAACACAGTAATTTCGTCATCAATATTGACATCATCGCAGCACTTAGTTTGTTATTGTAGTCACGTGACAAACGATTACGTCAGCATATCCAATCAAATCGCAATAAGGGTCTCACAAAGCCAATGAAGAGTACGCATAGTTGTGATGGTGCTTTAATATCTTCCAATCCACTAACAACTCGTCACAACAGTCTAAATATATTCCTGAGGTTTTTCTTCGGTGTCTTCTTGGCTGTTTCCCTAGTAACAAATCCAACGAGCTGATGAAACTTGTATACATAGGTCATGTTTTATTCAATTTGACCATAATATTTAACAACCTTATGTAGGCCTACATAAGCCTACGCTTATATAGGCCTATAATAGGCCTAAAGCTGTTTTATGGTAAAATTTTTATAATTTTAATCTTTAAAATTGTAACTTTTATCATTTTATTAAATCATACAAAATGTTTAACTTGTCAAATTCTTTTAATCTTTAAACTTTTTAATTTTAAACTTTTTAATTCATTGCAATGTTGTTATCGTTCATTTCTACCCCTCTTTGTTCTGCATTGCCGTTTTATTATCCTGATCAGGGAACAGTGAAATTAGTAATTTCACTGTTCCCTGTCCTGATCTTGTTACCTATGTGTTTTGTATTCTGTTTTTAATAAGGACCCCAACGGAAATAAGGTTTCTTTTTACCTTTCTTGGGTCATTCTTAGTATGGCTGTCCTTGTCTTCCCTCTTTGCTAATAACAGTGCTCGAATAGAAAAATGATGTTATATTCGTATGAACGAAAAGTTCCTTTCATGAAAAAAGTGTCCCTGGCGAGATTTGCGAGATATTAAACAATATTCAAATTATATAATTATATTCTTCTTGCCGTTTACAATTTATATACCGTAAGTAATGCTGAAATACTGTTCAATTTGACGATAGCCGCTTTAGTCAAGTTGATCAAGGTCACCTTAGCAAGCTTTAAACGTGGTTCCTTGTTAATAGATAATATAATATATAATATTAGTATATGATAGTATACATACACTTACATATTTTAGACTAGACCCAGTAAATACCACCTGTATGTTAAATAGCGCAAAAAACGCGCGCCTTAACGGTAAAGATATCATTTTTTATCGTCGTGTTTAATTTGTAGTGGTATAGTAAAATTTATTTTGACCACTCAGAAAACATTTGAAACTAAAGAAAGCAAGGCTTAGAATTGCACTGTCGGTTGGTAGCTTGTCCGTACACAATTTTATTAAATATGTATAGAGCTTGTCTTTTTTGTTTTTGTTTTTTTGTTTGTTTGGGTTTTTTTGTGTGTGTGTGTTTTTTTTTTTTTTTTTTTTTTTTTTTTTTTTTTTTNTTTTATTCTATTGATAGGCTATAGTAAGGTGAAGTGAATAACATAACTTTGACTGGATTTATGTTATTATTTTATTATAATGGAAAGGTAAAGCAGCAGTTTTTGGTAAAAACAAAAGTAGGACAATAATAGGACGTAATATTAACTTAATTAGATTTACACAATACTATTTTTTTTATTGAATTTATGCTCTGAATACACGCACTGATGCGTTGACTTCTTTAGCTAGCTCACGCGTTTCCGCGTTATGTTTTCGTCGTCGCGTCGTCAAATCGAAGAAAAGCAACACAAATATCAAGTGGTAGGCACTGGCTGAAAAAGAAAACAAGGAAGATGATTGACGGAGTTGATAGGTTTTTCTATGTTTACAGCTGTGATCTCAGCATGAACATTCAGCTGAAGATGTAAGATAAGAGTTGCTTGGCACAATCTGATTTGCATTGTATTTTCAACTTCCAAACCACTGTTAATTATTACTATTATTCCCTAGGCCTACAAAGGGCAGTTACACGGCGGTTGCTTACTAAGCTAGCACTGCGGACCCCTGATTGATTTTCGTATTATGGTATAATGGACGTAGGGCCTAGGCCTAGGCTAAAACGAATCTACAACGCAATTATTCTCTAAAACAGTCTGCATTTTTCTTTAAATAATTTTCAGTTCTATTGTTTTTATAATAGGGACGTAGACCTACACATAATTTACATTCATGAGTTCTATAATAACCGCCTTCCTACCACCTGGGAGGCTAACTAGTAGCCTGGGGGTGGGCCTAAAAAAAAAATACCTCCTTGTTCCTACTATAATAAATACTACAGCCTGGGTATAGTCCCTAGGCCGAAGAACTTCATAAATTTAATTCAATTAAATTTAATTCATTTTAATTTTTTTTTTTTTTTTTTTTGTGTTTGTGTTTCTTTTTTTATGTTTTTGTATTGAACACCACATTCTTTTTGGGTGACAGTGGTCTAGCCACTTTTGTTATTCCTTGGCACTGATTTGAGTATTGCCATTTTATTATAATTTCTTGTCATTTGTAAGTTTGTTTTGCTTTCTTTTGTATTTTCTTAGCAAAAAGAATAAAATAGAAATAAAATATTAATAATTAGGTACAATAATAACAGTAATCTCAATCATCAACACCGCCATGAGTAGAATTCACTACTTCACATACTTACTGTCAGTGGCATATCTAGAGGTCTTGAAATGGGGGGGGGCTGATGGGGGCGCAAAGGTAAAGTGGGAGTGTGGGGGCTAGATGATCAGTTAAGGGGCGCTAATTCACAAAATATTATTGTTTTAAATTGCCAAAAGGTACTTACTGGTATTGGTTTCCGACTTGGGCTATATACAATTGTATGTGTTGCTTGAATTTTTAACTACTTGACCGTGATTTTTTTTTTTTTTTTTGGGGGCTACTTGACCGTGATTTTTTTTTTTTTTTTGGGGGGGTGGGGAGAACCTAGGGCCCTCCCCTAGATACGCCACTGCTTACTGTAAACCACTACTAAACACCACCAAAGAATTTGCTGACAAGAGGTCCAAATCAAAGGACTGCCTACTGCCCCAGTCAGGCATTCAAGCAAACATCTTCTTCCTGTTGGTAATATTTTGTATTGTTTGTACCACTCCCCAATGTTTCCCATGTTTAGTGCTAACAATACAAGCTAGTTTGAACCAAGATCAATACGTAGACCTAGTACATTTAGTATTCAATTTTCAACCCCCCCCCCCAACCAACCAGCCTATGCCCCTGCAGTTGGTGTTGGTCAGAATGTGGGAACTAAGTTCCCAGAATGTGAAACTAAATCCCTATTCCAAATAAAACTTAATGGTCAAATTTTAGTATTTTAACCCACTTAACCTTACATGTCAGTGCCATCTGTTTTCAGCAGTTCGATGATTATGGATCTCCATCCCTCTCTATCCTCTGCCATTCTCACACATTCTCCAGTCTTCATCCATGTCCACTCCTTGATGCTGCTCATCCAGCTTGTTCTTGGCCTTCCTCTCCCCTTTTACCTTCCAGTTTTCATTTCAAAAGCTCTCTCTGTATTCCATTTTTTCTTATGATATGACCAAAGTACTTTATTTTTCTTTCCTATATTGTCAGTAAAAGCTGTCGAGTTTTCTATGCTAATCTCAGAACCTCTTTTATTTGTTTCTTTCCTTTATATTTTTCCACTTAGTGGTTCAATTGGCTGCCATGGTGGTGGTCTGCACCCCCAGGCTACACTCATGTAATTCTTAGACTGTATTTGGCTGTTGACTCCGAGGAGCTCATCCTGTAAGACCGCATTTAACAATTTGTTTTTTGATTTTTATGGTTTGATAGTGGAACACTAGAAGGTAAACGAGAGAACTTAAACTACAAAGCATTAATCGAAGATCCTCAGCTGCAGTTTTCAGGCTCGTACCAAGAAGGGTGCTCAGATTTATATGTCACATGTCAGGTGTTTGCTGATGGCAAACCTCTTGCCCTTCCCACGAGCACCTCCTACAGGGCCTTTGTAACTAGATGGAAGTAAGTAATTCCTTTTCAATTAAAAAAAATTGTTAAGTTTTATAATCAGCAGTTCAAAAGTTAAAATGGTCACCAGATGTGCAGCACCTAGATTAACAGAAAATGAGTACAGTATACATGTAGATCTGGATTGGTGATTAAAACATGCTACACACGATAAAATTTAGCTCAGCTACCAACCGTCCATGCAAACAGCTCAGATAATGTCTGTCAACATTTTCAGAGTGTTGAATACTTTTGGGCCCTAATTGATTAACTTATGCTAGATGGTTAAATATGGTTCAAATTGATAAATAATTTAAAAAAAGTATACGCACATGAGTAGTTCTGCTGCTGTTTGCATTTATGGCTGGTAGTTTTGCTAAATTTACGGGCCAGTGTCATTTAATTCCACTTCTTACATAGGACTAAAATTGAAAGTTTGACAATTCTGTAGTTGGTAACATGTTATTTCCACTTCCCTGTAGTAAATTAAAAATGTGATGTTTTATTGTTTATTAACTTTTATTGCCAACCAGATTTGTCAATATTGTTCTTTGCTTATTTTACATTTTAAATTTTTTTTTTTTTTTGGCACACCTACATTTATTTATATTTAATTACTTTTACAGTTGGAATGAATGGATAAGTCTTCCGTTAATGTATAGCGACCTTCCACGCAATGCCCAGGTAATAGAACTATTAACCATCATATTTAATCTGAATTTAAGATAATTATTGCCACATAAATCTAAGAAACTTGGAAATTTAAAACCAAGAAATTAAATTGCTTAATTTATGTCAATAAGTGATTAGCTACCATTCCTATACTCTTTTGCGTTCTATTAAACTGATCCATCGATCTGACTTATTGAGAGTTGAGAATAAGTTTTGGGTAATTGGAAGTAGATATGTTAGGACTTAACATTCATGTTTTTCTTTGTAATGAATATCAAAAATATTTTAATAATAATTCATCAGTACAGTGCTGTGTATGTCTGTAAAATGTCTGTAAAATACTGTAGTGTACCATCTTTAGGAAGAGACATTAAAGCCATCGGTCCTCTATGCAACATACTGTAGACCATGTTAAAAAAAATGTGCAGTACACTCTTTGGAAAAAAAATGGGGGATTTTCCCCTGAGTACTGTCAAAGTTACCACCAGCATTGTGCTGTCTATCCTGTTACTAATAAGTTCATTTTACATGTTTTTAGGCTTGTTTCACTATTTGGGATGTCTATGGTGCGAGGAAAGCTATACCAGTTGGAGGAACAACTGTCTCTCTATTTGGAAAGAATGGGTACGTTTTTTACTTTTATTTTATCTTCTCCCATCGAATATTTGCACAAAATAATGACTATATGCTGTGAGAGTGGTTGCAACACCTATTGCAGTTTGGTTTCTGAGCATTTAGGATGGGGTGGGAACTCAAATTCCATCCTGTCCATTTCTCTAATGTCCTGGGGTAAGGCATGTTATATTCTTCTTTCAGGAGTGTAATTTGATACCTGGTAGAATGGACAATTTCGAAATGAAATTGGTCTGTTTATGAAATAGCTATATGAGGATATCTAGACAGATTTACTGTTTTGCTTTCACCAAAGAAATTTAAAGCATAAGGCAGGATATTTATCATGGTTATAAAAGTAAAACCTGTGATGTGCCATTATTCAAATAAATGCCCCACTTTAAATACATGCTCCCAAAAATTAACATCCCCTCCAGAAGGTCGTATGGAATAAATGCCCTTTGAATAAACATCCTAAGATGTCTATTTTGAACTTGAATAAATTTCCCTCCCCTTGAAAATGGCATTTGTTTGAGTATCATATCCCATCAGGAAGTTTCTTTGATGTAAATACATCAATCAATCAATTAATTTCAATGGGGAGCTCATTCAAAATCATTATGCCAACAAATTTGAATTTGCAGCACATTTCGCCAAGGTATGCATGATATGAAGGTATGGCCTGAAGTTGTAGCAGATGGTAGGACCCACACCACCACGCCAGGAAAAACAGTTGGAAGTGAAGATGAAATGGCTCGTCTGGCAAAGCTAGTGAAGAAGCACCACAAAGGTCATATGGTCAAAGTTGACTGGCTTGACCGTCTGACCTTTAGAGAAATAGAAATGATCAACGAGGTGGGTAATGATTTGAAAAGATAATTGTTGAGAAGATAATTGAAAATATAGTTGTTGAAAAGAAAATTGAAAAGATAGTTGTTGAAAAGATAATTTGTTGAAAAGTATATTCAGTATTGCATGTTGAATTTTAAATATTTTAAATTTTTTTTCTAATTGATCTTTGATCTACAGAGGGAAAAGAGGAATTCCAATTTCATGTATCTAATGATTGAGTTTTCAAAAGTTTACCATAGCGGCAAAGAGTTTGCCATCGTATACTATGATAAGGTAAGGTGTTATGTTCTTTCAAGTTTTAGTGCAAGTAATAATATACAAATATTGACTACTCATAAGAGGAATTGTGAAATTTATTGCGCCGAGGTGGTGTGGAGACCATAGCCTACTATCTTCCCAAGGGCCGAAGGGGTGATGTTTGTAGTTTATGTTTTCTTATTCAAAACAAGTCTTCTTTTGATTAATTGTCAATTTTTTTTTTGTGAAAAATGAAATAATTATAGTAATAATAATTGTAAAAATAATAATAAGGATATGACAATGTTGGTAGTAATAATGATAAGTGTTTATAATGATTTATGGTAGATTTAAAGCAATTAATTAAAATTTCATATGTATTTACCTGATGCAATTCTTTTAATTTTATTTTTACCTAATTTTTTTTTGATAAAACAATTTTTATATTTGTAGCACAATTTGAATTGTGACGTAATTGAAATAATGTGTTATATTTGTATTTGTAGTGCAATTTGATGTAATTTAATGAATGCTATAATTATTTATACTTGTAGTGGAATTTGAATTGTGATGTAATTTAATTAATGTGTGTTATTTTTGTATCTTACACCAAATGGGCCATGAATTTATAAAATATTTGAAAGACAATAAAATGTTTTTCTTATCATATCATTAAAGTGTTCAGATATCATCAAAGTAAGTCAAACTTGTCACTTGTTGAAGATAAGTAACTGATAAAACTTTTTACATACAAAAAGTTTGACAAATGCAAAGTCAATTTTTTTCAGGTTATAAAAATTTATTATGTATTTTGGTGTATATTATTGGATAGCAGCTCGTCTGCCAATTATCAAAATAGTTTGCATGAAGCTGACTGCCTACCAGCATAGTCATTCCAATTCATTACCACTATTTCCTTTAATGAAAAAAATAGCTAATGAATATTCATTAAGAGTATACTTTGTAATTTGCAAATTAGTTACTGGTAGGTTTATATGTTGATTGCATTGGATCCATCTGAATTAGTAGCTATAGTTGATTGGACTGGCCAGTTTGCAGTGACAATTATAATATTCTGCAATAAATTTGTGGATTTGATATTTACTTGGTATACTTAATGTAAGAGACTAAATATCTGAATTTTTCTCTGCTTAAACGAGTTACGGAAACCTGTGAAATTAAGTATTATGGCACTCATATATGGATATATTGTTACTGGGTGAATGACTCTGTTTAGAACATCAGTGTTTGAATGGCAAGAAGGTTATTTAAGTATCATACACTGTTACATCCAGTCATTCTATACTGGCTTAGCAGAGTTTGTACCTCCTAAAACAATATTACAATTGTGATACATAACTTGGTTGGAGTTTTCAATTGTCATTGGTGTATCAATGCTGTTTGCGGAGTTGCGTAGAATGTACTATGCTTTGGCATCCTCACATATACACTTGTGTTTGAACTCACCTGGCCCACTTGATGACATCTGGAAGCAAGATGAAGATGGACGAAATCTTAGTTGCATGAGAAATTTGAATATACAGGTAGATGTTAGTCAAGGATACATTATAGTGCAAAGTTAGTTGAAAGGTTGATTTATTGGTATTTTTGGTTCTTTTTTTTCCCAATGGATCGTTGGCTTTTGCTTATTTAACAAAGATAAAAACGTTATGTTCAATACATTAGAAAATACAGAATCAGAAAATACAATAAAAAAAATTTAAAACTATACATTTTGTTTACTTATAAATTATCATTAATGAAGACTATCAAGAAAGGGGCCTAGAAAAGTATGTATTATATCGAAGTTTCCTGATGATGGTCAAATTAATTTGACTGAAATGTTGAGGCAACAAACTAGTGCTTTTTCTTATATTTTGTCCACATGATGTATTAATAGAAATCCAGTAAATTATTAAAAAATTATATCTGGAAATAAAATGCATTCCTGATGATCACATAATTAATGTCGAAATATTGAATCCTGACACGATGGCGTGCATTTCGATACTTGGATTATGTATTATACTATCTTATCTGAGATCAACTACTACTGTCGTTCCATAAGGTACTATGTACAAATGTTTGTAAATCAATCAGTCAAAAGAGTAAAGGAGTTCCATATTTATTAAGGGAAATGGTTTATTTTTAAAATTTTAATAAAAGATTTATTTTAATGAAGTTCTTTCAATAACAATGTTAATGTGTTTTTATTTCATAGTACTGTACTAGTGTATTTCAGATTTTTGATCTAAAAATTCAAACTTGTAACAGTGTTCCCAAGTTAATTTATTTTTAATATTATGCTAGCAATGTGGGTAATTTGAAGAACAAACTATTTGGATGTCCTATAATTTTTTTTTCTGATAAATAGCTTCTGTTATTCAGCATACACTTCAAGTGATATATAATAATTATTATTTAGACTTTTTTTTTCAATAACACTTTATTCAAGTAAATCTAAGAATTACAATACAATAGAAAGATAAATGCAACGGATACAAAATAAGCAAAGGTGCTTTAAACATGTAAACCTAAAATAATACAGTACAGAAGAAAAAATATATGCAAATTAACTCCTTTCAGATCAACATTCACTTTCCTATAACTTTAATTCAATTTTCAATCAAATACTAATGTAAAGGTTTTTTAAAAGTACCTAATGTGGGTGATTCCCTTAAATGGTCAGTTAGATTGTTCCAGATACTTGCTCCCTGGTAAAAAATACATTGTTGTTCCACTCATGTGAGCCTGGACAGAGTTTTGATGTATTTCTAATATCATAATGTCTTTGTTGTTGTTTTAGGATGCACATGAATCTGTTCAAATAGGTAATTATGCAGATATTGTTAAGGTGCCTGACCCAGAAATGTTGATGGTATGTTCTAATTGTTATTAGTAGATTATTATTATCATTGCTGCTACTGTTGAGGCTATTATTATTGTAAAGTATCTATTTACAATATATAATAAAACAAAGAACTTTGTTTTTGAAAAAGATGTATTCATTTATAATATTTCTATTATCAAAATATTAAAATTACATATGAATGTTTTTTGGGGGTTTTTTTGTTTTTTGTGTTTTTTAAGAAGAAATGCTATTAGCGTTACATTGAGCCTGTCTCCATTTTGGACATTTACAAATGCTTTCATTTTTAATTGATTGATATTAATTGTCCTAATGGTTATTTGTTAATTAATGATAATTATTGTTTTAGTGTATTTAGTGTATTGTTTTGTGATTATCAAGTAACAGTAGTAGTAGCCTGTTTTGTTATCTTTTTTTTTTGCAGGAAAATTTAGTAGAAGAAAAGCACCATATACTTGTGAGGAGTGAACGCAGTGGACTGACGGACAAAGACCTCAAACCAAATGCTGCAACCAGAGACCAACTTAATGTGAGTACTACTTATAATTTCATATCTAGGATTATTGACAGATTGGGGTGAGAAGGTTTAGTTTGGGGCTCGATTGATAAGTGATGGGGCTTAGCTGTGAAAATAAGGTGATATAAGTTAATTCTTCACTACTCCAGCATAATTTCTTTGATCAGCAAATTTCCAGTTTTTCAAATGATATGTACCCCAAGCAACCCCCCCCCCCCTACAGGTAGATATGCTAGTAGCTACTTATTACCCTCACTTCCCCCCCCCC